ATGTCTAGTTGTCTGGTTGAGACACTGTCACGAAGCCTGTCGTCTGTTGATATGATTGATGCCTCCCTCATGTCCTACAAATGTTTGCCAAGGTCGTTTTAGTGTAAGCACTTGTATTCTGATGAGGGCCTGTGTTTATTCATCTGGCCAGAAGTGTAACCCATTGTCCGGTCAATTGGGGGACTCTTGGTGAGTCTCAATCAGCATCTTCATCAACATTCACTACTCCGCTCCCCCATTAACCTAAGTTGGTGTCCAGAGGATCTGGTGATGGTAATATCCCTTGACCATTTATGTGCATCCAGATTAGCAGCATTCCAGCCAGTGGTGTTGAGATTTGAGATTTGGGTGGTCCAGGTTTCAGATCGGTTAATTTTCAAGGACAGAACATGACTGATGTCCAAAATTATTTGAGATTTTTTTTTCACAACTTGACAATGGCAAGAATTTCTCATCAAAACCTGAAAAAATCCATCCAAATCCCCTTTCACTGGTCACTGGTGGTAGAACCCTGTGAAGATTCAGTTTACAATAGGTGAAGAATTGGTCTTGAGCAAAACATGCTTGTTGTAAGAGGCAACTAACGGGATCGGGTGGTCAGGCTTGTGACTTGGTTGGTACATGTCATTGTATCCCAATTGCATAGATCAATGCTCATGGTGTTGAGATTTAGCTTGAATATTGCTGTCTGCAGCGTTACAAAAGCAAAATAGGGAAAACCTTGTGGTAGAGGCCACCATTTGTGCTACTTCTACTGATTACTACATAGAGTTGGGTGAAGAATGTGCAGCACTTGTCCGGTGATGTTGGCATGCAACAAGTCGGCACCAAGGTTCTAACTAAGCTAGTGTTGAGGAATGTGGAGGTCTCGTGATCCAAGTCCCCAGAATTAGCTTGTGTGAATTAGAGTTAAGATAGTTGAAACTGAGCTGTAGAAGAGAGAGAATTGTCACTTGATGAAGGAGTAAGCATATACTCCAAAACGTTGCTTCTCATAATAAAGAAGTTGACATCCATAAATTCTCTCTCGTGTGTATCCCTTTTAAATGCCATTCAAAGACTTGAGCTGCATATATACACAGCAATTGAGTTATGAGGGAAAGTTCAAGTCTTGCTGATGTGCCCTGGGACAAACTTCTTCCTCCACTGTTTCCACTTGACAGATAATCCCTTCCTGCTGGTTGATGGACTTCTGGCTGTTCTCCCAATCATGACATATTGTTTGGTCATTCTGGCCCAGCTTGGTGATTAGTTCATTCTTATCCCTCAGTGGCTTTCACAACCACCCCATGTTTGTTTCTGTCTTGTTGTGAATTGGCCTTGATTCTGTGATAGTGTCCAGCGTTAGTTTGATACTTTGTGTGTCAAAGTCGGCTTAAACTAATGCTAGTGTATCGGCCATAAAATTTCTGCGTCCCGTGAAGGGATTCTAATCACAGACCTTCTGATCCGGGGTCGGATGCCTTTTCCACATGACCAAAGAGCTTAAACCCCTTCATCAGACTGGCAAGGTAAGGATTTCATCTGTGGGATGACTCCACACCCTGCTACACTGACAAGGTAAGGATGTCATCTGTGGGATGACTCCACACCCTCCTACACTAGCAAGAACAGTTTCAGGCTTATGGTAAATAACAAAAGGATGTTATTCCTCATTTGTTTTGAGGATTATCATCTCCGATTCAGTCTTTCAATTTCAAGCTGATATAGTTCAATCATGTAACACAGTATCAGTCCATATATCAGATCCAACTGACACCCCACCAGGCCGCTTTATGTGGCAGTTCCCTACCCGTAGCTGCACGATGAGTACCGGCTGGTCTTGGAATGGAGCCGAGGTTGTGTGAAGCCACTAATTATGATGAGACCATGCTAATCACTGAAACCACCCATGATGGCTACTTATAATGAAACACCTCATTATTGCTTGTAATTTGATAATGAAGTAATTGTCTGGCTTGTAATGGAATCAATGTGACTATTACCCACTATATATAATTATCTGCAATGCTGATAGTAGATATTGAATTCTTGAAAATGAGTCATCATTGGGGAAAAAAATGGTAATCAATTCAGGACTAGTAAGTACATTATTATGTGAATAAAGACTAATATGTGTATGGTCTACAAAGCAGTATAATGATAACATATGGTTAGGACAAAATTATCAAATATATCCCGAAATTGCAGGATATGGACGGTGAAGAATAACATAGCACAGATCTGATGGAACATGGCACTATTCTGCCTGTATTATATGAGTATGTGATAAATCATAATGTTGTACAATTGGTATTATGGCTCTGCTTTAACAGAATTAAAGAGTATATCCAACTTATATTACCAGTACAAGAGCAGTGTTTGACATTAAGCATGAAAATAAAGGGAGTCCTTGTCGTAATGTTTGTTGTGAATTGAAGATTTAAGGGTTCCCCATATTCTATACTATAAAAGCAAAGCTGATATAAAGTTCTGCAGTGATAATGAAGTATGATGTAGTTATCTGACAGAATTAAAGGATATATTCCTATATCACTGGAGGGGAATGATGAAGAATGATAATATGGCTCTGATCTAATAGGATGAAGGAATATATCTAGCCTATAATACATGAGGGTGTGATAATGAAGTAGGGCTCCTCATCCCGTATTCCCCAGCCTCCTAGAAAGTGTCCTGACTGCTGTATCCAGATATATGTGGCAGATTGAGAGGCCGTTAGACATTGATCAGTTCCTAGAGAATAATGACCTTTCCAGTAATTAGTTTTCATTGACAAGTACCTCCACATTGGTTATAAACACTGATCATCTACGTGACGGAACTTCATACCAGCGTTATCTTCCCTGAAAGAGGATTCTTTTCCAGTTTTTCTTATTTTGAACTATTTTGGGGTTGTTCAATTTAGTATACATTACAGGTTTGACATTTCATCCGACTCGTTCGGAAATTTGACTAATCGGGATGAATGTTTGTATTCTGACGTTTTTGATGGCACTAATATTACTCTTGTTTCAGCTGAGCTTTTATGTTACTGCAAGAGTGCTAGGATGATACAAGATATTCACGTCGTTTGTTACAAACGCTTCGAAAATCTTGACATCTCGGTGTTTAAAGAAAAATAACGGATAGTATGTGTTAGTATATGAAGAGAAATAGGAAAGCCATGATCGTGGATTGGTAAGTCAGGGTCGATGAAACAAAAGGGAAAAAAGCATGTTATAAAGCATACAGCTATTTAAATGATTGGTAAGTTGGTTATAAAATGGGTACAAAATTTGGATTGGTAAGTGATTAAATTTTGCAAAACAATTGCACCAATTTGATTGGTAGGTTGTTGTACTGAAATCTTTGTGGGTGTTGTAAGTGCGCCCGGTAAGTGTGAATATACATGCAGGATTTGGCGGGTAAATCCCAGGGACCGGGACTAATGGCGGTATTCCTTATTTCTCTTCAGACATCAGCCAAACATGATGGCCTAACGGGGCATCCATGTTGCCTAAACATACGAAAGATTGCTCAAACTTAACAGTCACATAGGTTTGTATGTGTGGTAAGCGTGGGTGTATTCTAGCTGGGACAAGATGATTGGTTTAAACATTCATTGTTTCTAAATTCTCCCAAAGTGGGTCAGATCTTGTCCAATCGCGAAAATCCTACAGCTTTAAAAAGACTTATAGTGTGGATCAGTAAATCTTTTTTTTTAGGATGTAGTTTTGAGTGTGCAATGATAAGTATGTTTTAACTTATTTCATGCAATTAGCACACGGTAAACGGAATTGGATCTTCAAATAGTATTCATGACAACAACATTTTTAATTATTATTTTTTTAATTTTTTTTTCGGGAAGCCTGTTCCTTTTCAAAAGTTTAAAGGGGGAAAGAACTCCAGGACTGGGTGATTAACTGGTAAAAAGTACAAAATACTACTCAAAAACTGTCACATCTTTTCCTAAAATGGTAAGGGAGGGAATCTGATTTTGTAATGCAATTTTTGTGACATTTTTGATGTGGTCAGGTAAGAATGGGTGTAATTTCGGGTAAGTTATTCGGGTAAGTAAAACAAACCCCCAGGAGGACTGCAAGATAGATGGCGTCGTTTCCATGGCGACCATGTATTCCGCCTTTGCAAGTCTGTCCAGATTTAGGAAGGGACCAACCGTTGTGAGCTGGGTAGGTAGGGTGGCGTAAGTGTTCTAACATTTTCAATCTTTCGTGTGACTTAGGGCTTTTTGCTGTTCAGGTTATAAGATTTCAAAATTTCTAAATTTTCTATGCAGGTAGGTATGAATGACACTTTGTGTCGGTTAACCAAGGGAAGCTTGTTTTCAGCTAACAGTGGAATATGATGACCTGTGTCAAGTTCTAAATGCCATGCTTATCCACACTGGTCCACATTTTGGAATTCCAAGAAATATTCCCAGTTCTTACGATGGGAGGATATTTTAGAATGTTTTTAAAAGGTTGATTTTGGAAAGTGGCATTTATAGCAGCTCATCCTTTCCTTTCCTTAATGGTAAGCAAGGATTGGAAGGGGAGTTTGTTATGAATGTTGGACTCTTGAGACTGTGAGACTCCTAAGTGTGGATGAGTGTTTATACATTGATGTTGTTTTTCAGAAATACAGTGAGACAAGGTGCACCAATTGAGATCATAGAGATCTGCACTCTTGTTGCTAGGCAACAACAATCCATTTCTAACCATGACAAATTTCAGAAAATTCTTTTAGCCCAAAGAGAAATTTGACAGTACAAAGATATCTTTGTGATTTTATTGCCTCTTTGATCACTTTTCGGAAACAACTGAAAGGGAGGTAAATCTCGTAAGTAGTTGCAAGAAATGGTTCCCTTATAAAAGAAATTGGAGCATGAGAGTATTTGTCATAATGAACAATAAAGTACTGGTAAGTATGGCACGAGTGTAGATTTCTTCTAGTATCTGCTTCTTTGGCTAAAACACCAAAAACTATTTGTATTTTCATTTGTGATCTGTGTTTTCTTTTAGCTGCTTATAAGCATGCTGATGGTAAGAAGATTGACGGGCGCCGTGTACTGGTTGACGTTGAGCGAGGCCGGACTGTCAAGGGATGGCGACCCAGGCGACTAGGTGGGTAGCTGTGAGTGAATGGTGGTGATGATTTTTCTAGCTACATCAAGACAGCCTGTGCACATCTAGTTCAGCCAGGCAAACCAGCAGGTGGATGAGAATGACAAACATGATCCTCGTCATCTGGGCATGATCAAATCAGCCTTGTCATGCACTGTTACACCAGATTGGTCTGTTCTTACTAAATACATGAGGTGTTGGGGACCTGTTCTGGCTTTTAATCACCATGGGCTGGAGGGGACCTATTCTAACATGGAATCTCCAGGGGTTCTGGGGATCTGTTCTGACATGGAATCACCATGGGGTGCTGGGGGATCTGTTCTGACATGGAATCTCCAGGGGTTCTGGGGGATCTGTTCTGACATGGAATCTCCAGGGGTGCTGGGGGATCTGTTCTGACATGGAGTCTCCAGAGGTGCTGGGGGATCTGTTCTGACATGGGGTCTCCAGGAGTGCTGGGGACCTATTCTAACATGGAATCTCCAGGGGTGCTGGGAACTTATTCTGACATGGAATCTCCAGGGGTTCTGGGGATCTGTTCTGACATGGGATCACCATGGGGTGGAAGGAACCTATTCTGACATGGGATCAGCCTGGGATGCACGGATATGGAACTACAATGTTCCCTGGTTGTGCCAATCAGTGACAACTAATATGTATGAAAGGATGAGTTCCTTTCTATTGCTTCTGTCCCAGGAGAACCCACACAGGGTTAGCACCTGACTCATGCATTGTTCCTTCATTGGACATACTTATCCGCTGGAGTGAATACAGTTATCTATTAATATATCGACATTGGCTTGTTCAATAAGGCATTGTTCAGTGATGGTCACACAGGTCAACGAGACCAAGACATGTAATGGCATATCAGTTGTGACATTGTCATTATCCACCAATGTTGTTACCCTTACATTTGTTGTTATCACATAACCGGTAAGTAATGGGAATGTCAGTCATTGTGAACATAGTGCAGTAGCTATGATTGACATGTTGGTTGGACCTGTGAAGAAACCCATGCTTGTTGTAAGAGGCGACTATGCTTGTCATAAGAGGCGACTATGCTTGTCGTAAGAGGCGACTAATTGGATCAGGTGGTCAGGCTCGCTGACTTGGTTGATGCATGTCATCGATCCCAATTGCATGGATCGATGCTCATGATGTCAATCACTGGATTGTCTGGTCCAGACTCGATTATTTACAGACCGCCATCATACAGCTGGAATATTGCTTAGTGCTGCGTAAAACAACAAACCAACCAACCAACCAACCAACCAACCAACCAACCAACCAACCAACCAACCAACCAAACTAACATGTCGGTTGTGTCATCAGTGTCCTTTGGTCAGATACTTGGAGTCCTGAAAACTAGATATTCAGTTCGACACTCGACACTCCAAAGGACAAAAGGGCTACGGTCAAACTTATAATGGGGTGGTCTAAGTAAATCTAACTACACCACTAAAGGACGTTAAGGACAACCAGATTCTTTCATATTGCTGTAGTTACTGTTGTGGTCATATCACTGGGTACCCATAACTGCATATGTTATTGCGATATCGCAACAAGTATACATTACTATACAATGTCTACATTCAAAGGATACCAGTTGCTTACTGACAGTGGGAGTCGAGCAGTATACACATGTCACAATGTTTCTGTCGCTTCAAGTCAGTTGGAGTAGTTCATTGAACAGTGAAACGTGACTACTCTGGGATTTTATCTGATATGTGTATTTTAGGGCATAGACCTTTTATATCATATAAGCTCGAGGCATTCGACTTTCTTGTGTGAATGTTTTCCAAAACAGGAAGTGACATTTGCATTTCACTTTTTAATTATGTAACTAGAGGCATGGTGGTACACATTCATATGTAAGTTTGTTTTTCAAGTGTTGGGCATTTAGAAATAGGTGGGGATGGTCCGTTTCCATTTTTAATGTAATGTAATCGCCTTTGTAGTTATTTCGGTCTGTCCTTTTGGTATTAATCTTTTTTGTCCGTAGTATGAAGCATGTGGAATAATATTCTCCATTTTGGCATTAATTTTATTCCACAGTAAGAAAACTATGAACACAATGACATGGTCATGACAGACTAAATATTGTCACATGAAAACATTGAACTTCTTTTGAGTAGTACAGAATGTTGTTTCAGCAATAGCGAGCAAATAATCTGCAAAGACCAATGTCTCATGTTAGGTTTGATTTTGAGAACAATAAGGTCAAGGTTCTCTACAACCAGGCTAATGTCACATGTTGGAATGTCATGTGTTCTGTCATCCCCAGTTACACACACTCCATGGAGCAGATAATGTAGGAGATTACAACGTCATACACAACCAAATAAGATCAATGTTGCAAGCAATATGTATGATGATATCAAATGTGGGAAACAGATGTGGACCAAAACACTTTACATTTGTGAAGACTTGTCAAGCTTATTCTTAAATCAGCATCATGGGCAGGGTTAGAAACTAACAGTTTTCGGCCACTAGTCCTTATAATGATAACATAAAGCAAAACCCTTAAAAAGGGCAAATTTCTACTAGTCCTTATGATACCTTTACCATTGGGCAGTTTGGCAAGGACTATAGGACTAGTGCCAACTTCTAACGCTGATGGCAAGCAGGTCTGTGAATTAAACTCCTCCACAGAACTCAAGTGGTTATTATCGTTAAGCCTCCTACCTGTATGTTTCTGTAAGGGTGTTGACCCAGCTGAATGCCACAAGACCCATCCTTCTCAAAGCCAAGTGCGTTCATGATGGACACTCTTGCACCTTGTTATATATCCTGGATCGCTTATGTTTATCAAAGACAGTGGCAGTTCTTAGGCTATCAATGTCTCAAACACTGTGACACAGTTTGCGGTTGCTTAATCTTGTCAATTTGACAAAAAATAATTAATTAGGTTGTCTTCATTTGTTAAATGACCATATGAGCACAAGAACAGTATTCAAATTTTTGAAAACCTTCCTTAATCCAAAAGCAGCCAAATACCACTTTTCACTGTACTTTTTGGCAAAGCAATGCTGTAGTATTCCTCCCCTGTACACAACTGGCGCCGAGTGCCATCTCATGCAGGTTCATGTGAAAAAGCCATTAATCTGTAGTCACATCTACAGGAATCAGAGTACATTTATGTCAATTGTTAAATTGGGTGATGACATTGCTGAGAATCGGTGATCTTTGCCTGTGCATGTCTTGCCTTCATCATGTAACATGGCTGTTGACCAAAGCGATGATGGATAAGTACCAGTGGAGTTGATGAGGCAGGGGCATGCACAACATCGTATCAGCACTAATTGTTGATGTGCAGGTTCAGTTTGAATTGGAAGTGCAGTGTCATTGTAACAGTGTGCACGGGAGGGAACTGTGAAGACACACGATTAACCTGAGTTTTAGTAATAGGCTATCACTTTAAACACAACCAGGTCAATGGAAATTTTTCTCAGGCCATGACATCCTGACCTAGCTTGTGACTCACAAGTCCATGGATTTGGTCTAACATGATTAAACTAAACATGTTGACAGAGTGATGTTGTGTTTAGGACATTTAAACAGTGGAAAAAGTTAGGGGAAGTTTGCATTGAGTGCAGCAATTGATAATCGAGCGGACTGTGGTACAAAATGTGACATTGTGTGAATGTCAACAATTTAATGTCATTTATTTTTATATCAATTGTTGGGTTAAGTTCTATTGATATTTCATCTTTGTCTCATTTGTGGAATGTAATTGTCATGGTTTCATTGATTTTCAGGTGGGGGACTAGGCGGAACCCGTAAAGGTGGGCCGGACGAGAACACGCGCTTCTCCGGACGTGATGAGTACGCACGTGAAAGGTGAGAGCTGCTTGGCGTCACACATAGCTTTGTTATCCTGTTTGTCAAGCATGTACTTAAGTATTAATTGAAAGATGAGGAAGACCACCAAATCCTGTCACGGCATGTGTAGAGAGTTGAATAATACGACCTTCAACAGTCAGTTTTTACAAAACTGAGCCAGTTTGTCTAAGAATGCTTAGGGGATGTTGTGAGCGCATTTGAAGTACATAGAGGACAGACATAGCTATTCATGAAATAAGTTTTCTACACAATAAACTTCAGTAGCCTATCCAGTGTTTAAATGAAGGATAAACTTCAACAACCCTTGTAAAACACCAGTTTTAAAGTAATTAAAGGCTTTACGGGTCCCTTGATTCAGGTACAACAGCAGAAACAACTCATAGACCAAATGAGCCCCTTAGCTTGGAACACCACTAATCCTTCTGAGAATGTGGTCAGTGTACGGCCCCCAGCAGTTTCAGGTTACCGTACTTGATGTGAAGGCAGTGTACGAGTCATTCTTTTAGCAACCATACTTCATAGGAAGCCAGTGTCTAGACAATTCATCAAGATGTTTTTTGTTTGTTTGTTGTTGTTTTTGTTTAACGCCGCGCTCAGCAATATTCAAGCTATATGACGGCAGTCTGTATATAATCAAGTCTCGACCAGACAGTCCAGTGATTGACATCATGGGCAACGATCCACACAATTGTGATCGATGACATGCATCAACCAAGTCAGCGAGCCTGACAACAGATCCCATTAGTCGCCTCTTACGACAAGGATAGTCGCCTTTTATGGCAAGCATGGGTTGCTGAAGACCTATTCTACCCCAGATTTTCACGGCTCTATTCAAGAACTCAGCAGCCATTATGCCACCGTGTACGCAATATGTAGGCAGTGAGTAGGCTTAATCTGTAACATGTTGGCAGCCCATGTGTCAGCATTGTATAGACTTGTGATAGTTTTCCTATACTTTTTGTCTAGTCGAACCATGAAACTCACAAAGAAGACAGTGAAACTATGTCTGATCTTGTGCGTGGGCTTCTTCCATATTCCAATATCAAACTTTCTTTTTCAAACATGGATTTAACAGATTGTTGAGATTTGTTTGGATATGTTCACTGTGTTGCAAGGCCCTGACTGAATCAGCCAGGCCACACAGATGCTGTAACTATCAGGAGTGTCAGTGTCTCCTTGGTGAGTTTCTAACCACTTACTGTGTCAGCAGCCTCGGTCTCAGCTTCCAGCTCGGAGTCCTGTTCCTCATCAACAGTTTCCATAATCATGTATAGACTAATCTTTATTTATATCACAGTTTCCGTGGGGATGAGAGAGGAGTTGGTGGTGGAGGAGGAGGAGGCCGTGAGCGTTCCCGTAGCAGGGAGCGAGAACGTCGCAGCCGTGAGCGAGAACGTGAACGTCCCAGACGCCGCAGCAGGAGCCGAGAGAAGCGTCGATCCCGCAGTCGTGAGAGGAGGAGAAGCAGGGACAGAGATGCACCTGATGGTAAAAAACAAACACTTACATCTTGACCCATTACAGAATGTTTAACAGCATCGGCCAGAAAGATTAACTGCAGAATATATTCAGATATAGGGATGTAATGGACTGACCAAGTGATATTCTTGGGGGATTAGGGACTGGGATTTTGTATCGAGATTAGATGTCTTTTCACCAGATTTTATTTAAAACTATGAACCTGATTTTTGTGGCAGGCAATTTCTTTTCTTTTTTTCAACAGTCTGAAGCATAATTATTATTTTTTCAAGAATTTTCAGATACAATCTATTATTTCAATAAAATTCCAGTCCCTCCTCAGAATGTCAAATGATAAATCACTAAAGGTACAGGATGCCTTTACCCTGTGTTATTAGAATTTGTCTGCAGCACTCTACTGCTTGTCATAAGCAGGGGTGAGATTCTTCCACAAATTTTAGTGACCACAAATTTGTTAAAATCAGATGTCTTCCACCATTAACACCCCCAAATTATGGACCACACTCCATTGCAAAGAAGTTTCTGCTGAAAAGGAAAATATCCATTCTCATCCCTGCGTAAGAGATGACTGGTGTGGGTCAGCAGTTGACTTGCATGTTACTATGACATGAGGGCATTGGACATTGATCCTAACATCCACATGTAGTTTCTCAGCCAAGAATTAATTATCTACCGCTGCATTGATATGACTTGGAAGTTGCTGAATATCATGTTAACCAGCAAACAGTTCTTACGATTTTGATCGCTGAAGTCTTTTTAAATGGAAATGTAAGTATAGTAGAGGGAGGCCAAACAACCTTTAAGAAGTTGAAAAATAAAACAACTTCTTTCTGGTATTGGTATTGTAATATCAGGAACAATGACGATTCCGGTTTGGAATTGGTCCCTGCCATCTATGCTGGTCATAAGAGTCTACCAAAGGGATCAGGTGCTCAGGCTTAATCACCTGGTTGACAGCGTATCCTCATACCCTGACAGGGTGGATCGTTGCACACATCGATCACTGGACTGTGTGGCCCAGTCCCGATTTGTTTATATAACGGCTACTGTCATATAGCTGGAATATTGCTGAGCTTGGCATTTCACAAAAAACGTACAAACATGTTGGACAGTCACATATCATAACACATTGGTATCAGGTCATAAAGCACATTCAGTTTCGTTTAGGTGGGAAAGAATTGTATAACGCTTTGTGGTATAAAGGAGACAGATAACTTAAATTTGTTTGTTTCAGAAGAGGAAATGGGACGTTCCAAGGACAGGAAGCGCTCTAGACGCAGCCGTTCCCGTGATCGTAAAAGGAGCAGGTCCCGCGACAGGAAGCGTAGTCGCCGCAGCCGCAGCAAGGAACGTCGCAGACGACGAGAAGGTGGTGAAGATGGTTTTGACGATGTTGTGGTCAAGACGGAGAAGGGTGACGACTACGGCTATGGTGGCATCAATGGGAGTGGAAATGTTCCTCAAGAACCGGAACAACCGGCACCCGAGGAGGCTGCACCACCACCGGACAACAATGGGAGTTTGCCTGGCACCGAGACACAAAAAGAGCCAGAACCACCACAGGAAGAGGATGGATACGGAGAATGAAGACCATCCAAGTTTTCCAATTTTCCTTCGTGAGACAATAGGAACAGTCTTGACATTTTGCACATGTATTTGAGTTGGTGTTCTACTGAGCTAGGTCACGTTTGTGTTGTATGCTCTGCTAGCACTTTACCACACTCAGAATTAACACTTCAAGCCCTGGTACATATACCACTGGAATATGTCTCAATACTCCCACAAATTCAAGTATTGCAGTGACTTAAATTTGCTCATCTCATGCTGTTGGTATGTTACGTGTGTGTATATAGGGGGTAAATATTCCGTAACTTGTCGTCACATCAACAATCATCACTCTTGCCAGCGTCATTTTGCTTGAGTTTTGTGAAATTGGAAAATCTAAATCGATGAGTTTGTCAATTTCTATTCCAGAATTAAAGTCTCTGCATCCCTAATTTGATTTTTTCATCATGATCCTAGTCGATTGTTCTCAGCTTTGTTTTAAGGATCGTTTACAATGTTTTATGTATTGCAATTACCATTTTATGTCCCTGTTTGAAATGCCAAGCTCTATAAAATGGCAGTCATTGTAGTGCTTGGAAATATTTTCTGTAAATGTTTGCAATCCTCCTGAGAAAGAGTTTAGTCTCTCAAAGCACAAACACGTTTCTTAGAACTTTGAGGCTGTGCATCCGCATTCCAACAGCAAATCATCCCAGTCAGTAATAAATTCATTAGACCACCATTGTTCAGAGAAAAGGCATCTTTGTTATCATTAATTTTAAATTGTCATGAAGTTCATTTGCAAATTTTTAATATGTTACGCTTTTGTGTCTTAGTAATTGTTGTGTAGATGAACTAATCAGATTACTCCTGGCAAATGTAGTAATTTAATTGGACTACTTATGGGTTGAGGATGGTCCAGAATTTAGAAGCTTTCTTGCATTCATCAGCATCCTTTCATTCTGGTTGCATCTCGGTATGAGCAGCCTCCAACCCACATAATCAGCTGAATAGGAAAAGCCCAGATGAAAATGATGGATTTTATCATCCAGCACTCCTTCACTTGATGAAAGATGGGGATCTGTGATGCCCTTTTCAATTTTGAAATTTCCTATATAATACTTTTGGCATTCCTCGAGTAGCCATGATTGGAAAGCCAGGATAAAGTTTCATGTATTTTCCTGCTCTGATTTCTCTTCCAGCTCTGTATTGTGGCCTGGGCACCTATTGGTAGTTTTGGTCGTTCTACACAACTGTAATGTTTGTCTACTGTAATAAAATGAACTAAATCAGATATGTGTTCGTGTTATGTTGAAACGAGTGGTATAACCTGCACTGGTGTCAGATATCGACTTGGGGACACTTAGTTGTTTGTTGGAAAGTGCCAACAAACAGTGCAGTTTATGCTGTAACAGGCCAGTGGGGAATTATGACTGATGCTTTCCCTAATGTTGAGTTATAATGTCCTGGTGAATAGTTCCGAGACTTGATGATGTTTGCCACACTAAACTACACTTTACCACACTATACAGCACTATACCACACTTTATTGCACTATACCACACTTTACTGCACTATACCACACATTACTGCACTATACCACACTTTATTGCACTATACCACACATTACTGCACTATACCACACTTTATTGCACAATACCACACATTACTGCACTATACTACACTTTACCACACTTTAGTGCACTATACTACACATTACTGCACTATACCACACTTTATTGCACTATACCACACATTACTGCACTATACCACACTTTATTGCACTATACCACACTTTACTGCACTATACTACACATTTACTGCACTATACCACACTTTAGTGCACTATACTACACATTACTGCACTATACCACACTTTATTGCACTATACCACACTTTACTGCACTATACCACACATTACTGCACTATACCACACTTATATTGCAGATTGGTTACAATGAATGTCTGGAATTTTGGGATAATTTATGTAGTAAAAGGATGACAACTTCCAAGTCACATTCCTGACAGTAGAAAGTTGTCATCAAGAATATCAGTCTGGACTAACATGGCCTGACTGGCTTACATATTGCATTTGAGTTCTAGAAGACAATAGGGCATGGGTGGCCTGGTCATCTACAATTGCTGAGCAGAGTTGCATCCCTTGGGCATGCCAGAAACCTCTGATTATTGGTTTGAATTCAGGTTCGCCCTGATTGTTTCTTGGTTTGTCAGCACCATACCCATGCTCGGGGGTTTGAGGAGAGGTAAAAATTGAAACCTGCATCTCTTCGGGCTTTCCTCCCACATTAAACTGACGCCCTGTGAAATAATACTGTTAAATGTTGCCTTACACCCAACTCACTCACTCATTAAGCAGGCAAAGACTTCATAATTCATTGTCTTGTGTTATCCGGATTTCACCAAAGTGGTAAATTTCTGAGACCTTTCTCACACTTCAGGGTGACATCTCTTGGTCTTTTTGAAGTGCTGATCAAACCAGGGACACTACCATGGCTGGTGGTGACACTTGCCACAATACAACCCGAGTCGTGGTTGAAATGATCAACGTCCCACGCCCGTCATCTGAGACCGTCTTCAGCAACCCCTGTTTGCGGTAAAAGGCAACTATGCTTGTAAGAGGCGACTTACTAACGGCATCGGGTGGCCAGACTTGCTGGCTTGGTTGATGCATGTCAACTTTTCCCAATTGCGTGGATCGATGCACGTAATGTCAATCACTGGATTGTCTGGTTCAGACTTGATAATTTACAGACCGCCGTCATATGTGCAGAGTTGCATCCCTTGGGCAAGTCAGAAACCTATGATTGTGGGTTCGAATCCCGGTTCGCCCCAATTATGTTTCTAGGTTTGTCAGCACCATACCCGTGCTCGTGGGTTTCAGCAAAGTGGTAAACGTCTGAGACCTGCATCACTTCGGGCTTTCCTCCCACATTAAGCTGAAACGCCGTGATATAACTGCAATACTGTTAAAAGCGGCGTTAAACCCAAGTCACTCACTCACTCTTTTCTAAAAGGTGCGAGGCTTGAGCCAATTAATATTCCTGCCAAGTTTCATTCATGTCATCACCAATCCACTTTGTGTACTAACTCACACTTAATGAAGTGTCAATTATTTAGTTATCTATTAGGGCGATGTTGCACCTTGTATGAATTAATACCGACATATTTGCCGATGCGATGCTAAATTGTAACTCCCCAACAATCAAAATGACACTGCGGTCAGGGTGCTTTGTCATTGATCGAAGGTCCTATATAGTGGTCAGCATATCGCTAAGCCTCTTGACAATGGACGTTTAACAATCGTATAGATATCTATATGCACGAACAACCTTAGTTTGATCGTCCTCGAGATGTCTATTGACAAAATCGCTTGGGATATTCAACGGGCGAATGGCATCTTAGGAGACCGCTTTTGCTGGAAAGTGCTATTTCATTGCACCAGATGTGAAGGCCCTTTACACCCCACTCTAATCAGCAAGAACATAAGTGATCCGACATCACGACACTGCAGCTATTGATGGTCGATCGACACGATACTCGAGGTCAGAAATCCAGGCCATCATTTTTCATGTAAGGGACTGGTCATTTATAGTAAAGGGAGGGTGGAGGGTGTTACCTTAACGGTGTGTGTGTCAAAATATTCTGTCCTAAGACAAATATCGTTTTGATTGTCAAGAGCAGAAATATCGTATTAGTCAAGAACAGTATTCAAGGAACTATCTATACACAATGTCTCTAAGTCTGCAAGAATGGATGTACTATTTGTTGCAATGCAGAACACTTACATTGTGAACGGATATGGTTGACCAGTGGTAATAAATGTTTTTGAATGAAACTATAATAGGCATATTGAAAATCAGTGTCACATTTTTAAGTTCAAATGCTGAAACAAGTATATGAAGCTTCAGCTTCAAATGGTTTCTGAGGAGATATTGAAACAAATATGTGAAGCTTCAGCTTCAAACAGTTTCTGGGGAGTGATGTTTACAATGCCGTTTGAAAGAATTTAAGACCATGGTCCAAAGTGGAAATTAAAATAAAGGTAAAAAAAGTAACGTATTTATTAAACTGGACATATACCCATCACGATTACATTGGGAACACAATGACAAAGTATTGGCCTTAAGAAGCATCAACCTTCAGTATGACAAGTGTAAAGGTCAATTCAAGGTCAAAGTTTATCATATCACACAAAACCTAGAACATATATGTTGAACCCAACTAACTACTCATGTACTGGCCATCAATAACGCGCCGTGGAGGCCATGTTGAAAATCAGATTGTGTAAACCAGCAGATACAGCTTTATTGGTCCAGTGGTTTCTGAGAAGATGTTTACGACGGATGAATCGTGATTTCTTTGTATTTTCCAATATGAGCCATATTTGATTACCGCTTGCCGTAAAGGGAGACTATGCTTGTCGTAAAAGGCGACTAACGGGATCGGGTGGTCAGGCTCGCAGACTTGGATGATGCATGTCATCATATCCCAGTTGCGTCAATCGATGCTCATGATCTCAATCATTGGATTGTCTGGTCTAGACTCGGTTAATTACAGACTGCCGTCATAAAGCTAGAATATTGCTGAGTGCGGCGTGAAACAACAACAAAAGTAAACTTGTTCCTAGGCAATGTTGGAATGGTCTATGTAGTGCAGTCATGGAAGCCACACAGTAACCTCGGACTAGGTGACAAAAAGTATGTTACACTCCTTCTCACAATGTATTTTTAAAAGTCTTGTCGCCTTTTTCATGTGTTAGGTACAATTAGAGAATCTGAAGCAGTTGACGTATTGGGTTTCCTTTTGACTTCTGTCGTCTCCCGGAACGACATGACAGACGTGACACTCAACCGACGGCTACAGTCATAATGGGGAACTGTAATTTCAGGGCCGGGATCAACAAAATGATCTTAGCGCTTAGACAATCTTTACTCCCATACGTACACTAAGACCCCATTATGCCTTAGAACCCTTTTTTAACTGATTAAAATTTCTTTTTGTCTTGAAACTGGCCTTTCACCCACTGCATACAAAAATAGCTTCGTAATGTTGCTTGTGTCTAACTGTTCACTCTAAAAGGCAGTGGGTAGCCTAGTGGTTCAAGCATTCGCTCATCACGCAAATGAAGGCCATGGTTCGAATCCCTTGCAAGGGTACAAGACCTAAAACCCAATTTCTGATGTCCCTTTCCGTGGTATTGGCGGCATGTTGCTAAATGAGGCGTAAAACCATACTCACTAATTTCTGAAAGAACAAATGCAATTGTTGCTTTACTTTGATCGCTGGAATAAAAAACGGTGTCGGCATTCAGTGCACTAACGACGAAATCCCAACGAAGGCGGATGAGAAAATGACTAAACGTGTTAGCGACGATGAGACTTGAAGATGTTCGAACAATGGAAGGGTAAACCAATCACCAATCATTAACACAATTCAAGTAATTTGAAATAAATAAACTCGTAAGGAGTCCAATAAAAGTGATACTTTTTTGCACCACAACATCACGCAATTTCATCCCGTAGAACCTGGGTCAGAATAGGTACCTTGCACCCCGTATAAACCATAAGAACCAACTAAAATGAAACCGGTGAAGATCTGGGGTAGAATTTGTCTTCAGCAACCCATGCTTGCCGTAAAAGGCGACTAACGGGGTCGGGTGGTCAGGCTTGCTGACTTGGTTTATGCATGTCATGTATCCCACTTGCGTAGATCGATGCTCATGATGTCAATCACTGGATTGTCTGGTGCAGACTCGATTATTTCAGACCGCAGTCATATGGTTGGGATATTGCTGAGTGCGAAGAAAGAAAGAAAGAAAGAACTAAAATGACCATTGGTTAGTTGTGACCAGACTGGTTCTGTGTCACCGTGCCCTCGATGGCGTGGACCGATGCTCATACTATCAACCACGGGTTGCCGGGCCCAAACTCGATTAGTCATATGTCACCGTCATATTGTTGTTTGGGGAGTTCTGAATGCGCACACCACTTCAGACAAGGATATTAGTGTGAGTTGGGTTTAATGCCGCTTTTAACAGTATTCCAGTTATATCACGGCGTGTCAGCTTAATGTGGGAGGCAAGCCCGAAGTGATGCAGGTCTCAGACGTTTACCACTTCGGTGAAACCCACGAGCACGGGCATGGTGCTGACAAACATAGAAACATAATCGGGGCGAACCGGGATTCGAACCCACAATCATAGGTTTCTGGCGTGCCCAAGGGACGCAACTCTGCACAGCGACTCGCGGCGCTTTAGACGACTGGACCAACC